GGTTTACTGTGATTGCTTATTTTGGAGTAGGACATTACTGGTTTGGGATTCATATCCACGTGGTTCTGGAATTTGGGGCCATTATTTTCAATGGGGAAAGTATTCAAGGGTGTGGGTCAGCTGTTTATAAAGATAATGGCACCAAATTAGCACAGTACAATATAGAAGTAGTAATACCCAAGAATCACACATTTGTGGTACCATTCTGGAAAATAACAATGCACGCTCCTAGTTCTTTCAGGCATAAGCAAAAGTGATTATATTAAGCCAGTGCTGTATCATCTACACTGGCTTCTGATCTCTTTTCTGGACCAAAAAGGCACTGATTTTGACCTTTAAAGCACTGGGTTTCTTAGGTCCAGAATATACGAAGGAGGTCTTCACCCATGTCAACCAAAATTCTACTAAGGCTGGTTCTCAGAGGGAGACCCCTGTGCCAACCTCAAGTCTCGGGAGGGCTCTTTTTGTAGCAGGAACTCCTTTGCATATTAGGCCACAAACCCCTAATGTAGCCAATCCTCCAAGAGCTTACAGAGCTCTTCTTACAGGAGCTACTGTAAGCTCTTGGAAGATTGGCTACATTAGGGGTGTGTCGCTTAATATGCAAATGAGTACCTGCTACAAAAAGAGCCCTCCCGAGACTTGAGGTTGGCACAGGGGTCTCCCTCTGAGAACCAGCCTTAGTAGAATTCAGATGGTGGGAACCTGGGAGAGGAGTTTTTGGCTATTGTACCCCAACTTTGGAAGTCCCTCCTACAGGAATTGAGAACATCTGCTTTCCTAAAGGCTTTATGGATGGATTTGAAGGAATACCTTCCAAAATGCCTTTGAGAAAATGGTATGGCAGGGGGAGGCACTATTGAGAAAATGACTTTCACTTATTTTACTGTATTTTGTTGATTTGTATTTATTGATTTCCTTCATCTTGTTCCATATTTCCCCCCCCCCCCAACTTGGGGAGCCAAATGGGCTTACATCATTCTCCTTTCTTTCATTTTCTACTCACAACAGCCCTGTGAGGTAGGTTAGGGTGAGAGTATATGGCTGGCTCAAGGCAACCCAGTGAGAGGGAGGATTTGAACCTGGGTCTCCCAGATCCTAGTCTGACACTCTAACCACTATACCACATAGGGTCTCTTGTGGTATTTTACTGGCTTTTAATTTATATTTATTGTATTTTATTGTGTTGTAAACTACCTTGGTGACTCTTTAGTTGAAAGGCTGTCTATAAACTATTTTTGCTTTTGGTAGCCCATTTCCAATTAATAATTCTCCTGTCTCTCATTTATTTTCTGTTGTAGTCTGCACCAATGCTCCCTCTAAGCTGTGGAGTCTTGTTGTGAGCAAAAATTCTACTTTGTGAGCTACTGGCATTAGAGTTGTGTGTGAGTGATTTGGCTACTGCATAAATTAGTTTGCTCTGGAGCCCTCCTTCCTGAGCTAAGGCAAAAATGTGTGAGCCAGAGGCTCAAAAACTGTGAGCTAGCTCACACTAACTCAGCTTAGAGGGAACACTGGTTCTTTCTAGTTCCCTCTCTTCTAATTTACCAGTCACAGTGAGTGGGTTCTGCTGGCAACTATCATCTGTAAATTCCACACATTTGTATAATTTCTCCTTTGTATATAATTTTAAGAGGCCCACCACCCAGAGTTACTGCTAAATCACATCGCAGTCCTAAGCAGAGTTGCACCTCTCTAAGTTCATAAGACTGCATTGTCAATTTCCTAGCTCCTTTTATTTCCCTTTGGATTGTGTTCCATACAGTGTTTGTTGACTTCATTGGACCTTTGCATGTTGACACGATGATAGCTACTGATTTGTTTGCTGTGAAGACTTCCTCTAGTGTCTTTAAATGTCAATGTTAATGTCTTAGGTGTAAACTGCAAGTCCCAATACTGGCATTTTAATGGTCTTTCTAGATAAAAGCTGAAAGTATAGTAACTATGTAACTTTTACTCCAACTGGAGCAGTATTCTCACAGCGATCCTGAAACAGAACTGTAGTTATTATCAGACTCTGCTGGTTATATCTGGTCAATAGTGCTCTTTTTGTTAAAAAGGAAAAAAAGTACTGGTACTCCTATATAACATTATACTAATTTCTACCAATTCCCTTCTCAGGACTTGGGAGAACCCCCCTCCCCAAGATGCTGTACTCAGTACTGGTGAGTACTGGTGAGTACCAGTCACAGCCACAAAAGCAAAAGTCCAGATTTCTGCTCTCTCTCTTGAAATTTTAATTTTCCTTATGAAAATGAAATTTCATTTCAGTTCAGAACTAACTGAATCATTGAAAACAGGGGTCATTTCCTGCAGGAGTGCACAGGAGCGGAGCTCCGGCAGTAAAGAACCTGGGGGCGGGCACATGCAACAGGCCCCACCCCCTGCTCCCAGCAGCCCTCAATCAGAGCAAGAAGCAACCAGGTAAACTGCAGAACACCCCCCCCCCGGCCCCCCGGTCCAAAACAGTCCAGTGGCACCTTTGACCAAGTTTTATTCAGGTACAAGCTCTCCCTCCTCTGTGAGGACAGATCTGCACGTCCTCCCCCCCAGTCGCTAGCAATCCAAAACAGTCCAGTGCAGCCTGAGTGGTGGGTGTTGCCTTCTGACACACTTCCGGTGATGTCAGGGGCAGTGTTCCCTCTAAGCTGAGTTAGTGTGAGTTAGCTCACAGTTTTTTAGCCTCCAGCTCACATATTTTTGTCTTAGCTCAGGAAGGATGGCTCCAGAGCAAACTAATTTATGCAGTAGCCAAATTACTTGCTCACAACATTAATGCCAGTAGCTCACAAAGTAGGATTTTTGCTCACAAGACTCCAAGCTTAGAGGGAACACTGGTCAGGGGGTGTGACATATGTAAATAAGTTATGCTAATGGGTTATGCTAATGAGCTCCTGCGCCTCTTTTTCTACAAAATGACCACTGATTGAAAAGCTGTTTCACAATTAGTATTTCCCCACTGATTACCATTATAACACTGGCACCTACCATGTATGAATGAAAACATGTATTTCAGTTTAATGTTTATACTTCAGCAGGGAAATATTTTTCAATAATAACAAGCACTTTATCTGATGGTACAGATACTGGTATCCATACCCTATATGCCAAAAAATGAAAGAGAAGCCCACATTGTAACTTAGAAATCATTTACAGGGTGACACATGATGCTACAATGTGGATCCCACTTACAAACCCATAAAGATGCCATCATAATGATCACATGAGTAATTTTACACCTTGACCTTATCATGGCATATTTCTTATCAATATGCAACAGGAAAAAAATCAAGGTGTAGGGGAAAAAAATCAAGAAAGAATAATAATAATTTCTTTTCTACACCTTGATTTCCCCCCCTGCTGCTACTGCTGGTGTGGCCCTGACTTCTTCTCTACTTATCAGTATGCAGTTCATATAAAATCAGTCTAGGATGCAGAGAATATAATGTGGGTTAGTTGTGCATCAGAACCAGGGGTCATTTCCTGTGGGAGCGCACAGGAGCGGAGCTCCAGCAGTAAGGATCCCAGGGGGCGGGCACATGCAACAAGCCCCACCCCTGCTCCCAGCAGCCCTCAGTCGGGCCACGAGGAGCAAGAAGCAGCCAGCTAAGTTGCAGAGCTCCCCCCCGACCTGCCTTCAGGTACAAGCTCTCCCTCCTCTGTGGGGGCAGATCTGCACATTTCCCGCCCCCCCCAATAGCTAGCAATCCAATACAGTCCAGTGGCACCTTTAAGACCATGTTTTATTCAGGTACAAGCTCTCCCTCCTCTGTGAGGGTCTACACATCCCCCCCCAATAGCTAGCAATCCAAAACAGTCCAGTGGAGCCTGAGCGGTGGGTGTTGCCTTCTGACACACTTCCGGTGATGTCAGGGTGTGTGGCATATGCAAATAAGTTATGCTAATGAGCTCCTGCACCTCTTTTTCTAGGAAATGACCCCAGATCAGAACACAGTTGATGCAGAAACAGACTCAGGGATTTGCACCATTTTGGATACATTCTGTAGCTTTCACTGAAATCTGAGCTTTCTATTTTTGTATGCTTAGCAGGAAAATTACTGGTACATTACATAAACCAGTGATTTTCAGACACCGAGAAGTGTAGCACCAGTACTTCCAATCTAGCAGAGTCAGTTGACTTTCCTGATGTTGGTTTGGAGTGTTTAATTTTATTCTGTTTTCAAGATGGTATAATGACCCCCCTATGTTAGCATCAAGATGAATTGGTCGGGGTCACAATACCGCCTAGTGACCCCGGGCCCCAAGGAGGCCAGGCTTGCGGCCACAAGGGCTAGGTCCTTTTTGATGGCGGCTCCTACCTGGTGGAATGAGCTCCCGGAGGAGATCAGGGCCCTGCGGGACCTGGTACAGATCCGCAGGGCCTGCAAGACGGAACTCTTCCGCCAGGCTTTTGAGTAGGAGCCGCCGCCACCACTACCACCACCGTGCGACTGCAGAGCAGTTCCGCCGCGTTGGGCTGACTGGCCAGCTGAAA